TGTTCCCAACTGCCAAACTACAAAATGTAACTTCTCTCGCTGCCCTCTCCATGGAAAGTATATAAGCTCTGCTCAAGCTGTTCTCAGGGCTCTATCTCTCTTTGCTATAGAGAGCTCGGGCCCCAGCATGCTGGTCTCCAAATAAACCCACCCTTCTGCTTTTGCATAAGACAGTCTCTTGTGGTCTCTTACTCCCACGTTCCGCCAGACCCTTACAATACTTAGGACTGGAACTGCTGCGTCATATGCAAGAATCATTATTAGAACAAATACTGTAATATTGTAATCTTCCTGGGTCTCAATTTTCTTTTTCAGTATAATATGGCTTGAAAGAATTAAATGAAATAATGCATTTACCACGCTTAGCATCATCTAGCATTTTTTTTTTTTTTACTAAGTAAATTTAATATTACTAGGGAGGGGTCCTGGGTCTCAGTTCTCCTGCCAAATGACGGAGTGGGACAGGCGGACCCCTGTGGGTCACGCTCCGCACTGCGGCGGCCGGCGGTCCGCTGCAGAACTCCCAGCACGCCCCGGCCACCAACCCCTCTGTAGTCGTGCCTAAGCCCGCAGCCTCCACCACGGAAGGTCTGCGTCCCGCAGAGCTCACCTGCAACTTCCCGCGCCACTCTTTCAACTGGCACGTATAACCCGGAAATAAACCTCCAGGTAGCGGAAGCAGATTTCCAAGACCGGAAGCGAGTGTGARGCAATCATGGCGTCGGCCCTTCTGGCGCTGAGGACGCGGGCAACTAGTAAGTGGGGTGCTGTAGTCTTTTCGGGGAGAACCGGGAGGGAGGCCGGGAGTTGGAAACTGCCCCCGCGGGTGGCCTTGGATGCATTGGGGGCGTGCGAGGGTTGGGGGGGGGGCTGCCACTGATCACGTGACAGGTCTTGGGCGCTCCTGCGCGGGGCGGGGAGGGTTGGGAAGCACGTGTCCTTCCTCTATCTGGAACCCAGAGAGAGGACTTCCTTGGCGGTTGGTGAAGCAGGCACACCGCTTCCCCTCTCTTGGTTTGTGTGGATCCTTTTATCCATGGAAAGGACTGAGTCCAAACAAAGTTAATCCATTTGTTCAACAGATTTAGGTCGTTCTCTGTGCCAGACACATATTTTCAGAAGAAAATATGAAGACATGGTCTCTAGCCGCTGGGCAGTTCTTGCTAGTAGAAGGATCAGTAAGCATATATCAGTAAAATAGTTGATTTTTACAAGTGCCATGAAGAAAGAGAGTATGTGCATCCTCTTTTAGATTGMATTGTCAGGAAAGTCCTCTAAGGAAACCTCTGAGGTTTAGACCTAAAGAACAAAAGGAGGCGGGGCAAGGTTGCACAGGCCTGTAATCCTAGGGAGGCTGAGGCTGACCAGTCGTTTCCAGGCCAGCCTTAGCAATTTACTAAGACCCTATCTACAAGTAAAAAGGGATGGCCCTTACTATCTCATTTCTCCTTACCAAATCCTTACCAAATCAAACTTAGGATTCTCCTGCCTCAGGCCCTTCAGTTGCTGGGATCACAGGCCTGCACATCTCCCCCTGGCTTTTCTGTTAATTCTTATCYGTGCTCCTTTGTTCCAGCTAGTTTCTGTTCTCATGAAAACTTAGAAAGCTAGGCTTCCAAAATGCTTAATAAAGAGGCTGCATACACTCAAAAAACTTCCCTACAGATGTTTGCATAGTACTCAAACCATGACTGAGTCTGGAGATCTGAAAGCTAGGACTGCTGTTCCTAGGTTTGTCGTACAGCAAGAGGCTTCCATGGTTAGTATGAGTGTGAATTCATTGTCCTTTTTAAAATAAATGCCCTACCTTCTTGGCCTTGCATTTGTTCTTATTTAAAATAAATGCCTTTGAGCACTTTAGGATGAGGTCAGATTAACTTCTTACATTGTATTGATCTTGGTTGGACTTCTGTTTGATGTACTTTGGAAAGAAAGGGAACAACTTGCCAAAGTGTCCAGAAGYCTGTGGAAGCCATGCTCCACCAATTGCGCTTTTTGTATGCAGGTRTCTGGTTGCAGTAGGTGAATGGATAGCTTCAAAAGGGTGGGGAAGCTGCAGCTGAGGCCGCTCTGGGTGTCCTGTTGTTGGCCTGTCTGGGTTGACTGTGCCTCTCCATGGGGTGTGAGGGTGAGTGAGGCTCTGAAACAGGCAGTGCTGTGGTGTCCTCTTGCCGGCTTTTTTGGTTTCTTCAATAGGACTGAATGTGCCAGGATCCAGAGCATGTGATTTTTTTTTCCCATTTATATTTTCCTATTCTCCCCACATCTGTACACCCCACTTCCTAGCGAGTACATGCACACACATACACTCCTACGCCCCTACCTCAGGCAGCACTTAATCTCCAGACAGTACAAGAAATGAATGGTCCCCTGCTATGGGAGAAGGCCAAAGGACTTCTAGAAATTCCTTGAAATCTAACACTTAGCATTTCTGTTCCCCTCACACATCTTTCTTATTTCCCCTGTCACCTCTTAGCTTAGCAAATGGGCCATGGAGGCAGAGAAAGATCTAACAGTGTTTCTGTTTTCTCTGCAGTTACAGCCCTGTTGAGCCCTCCTTCAGCTATAACTCTTGCTGTCAGAAATGCATCCAAGAAGACGGGTGGTAGCTCCAAAAACCTTGGTGGAAAGTCACGAGGCAAACATTATGGCATCAAGAAAATGGAAGGTGAGAATGTGTTTTAGCTTCCATACTTCAGTTTAGGGCTGAAGTATCCTGAAGACAAGTAAGTGTGAACTTTAGCTATGAAACTAGAGTGAAGAGGATGCTGGGTAGGGGATTGGGCACTGCTTGGACCATTTGGCAGTTGTTTCTGTTGAGGGACATGCTTAGAGGTTGGTATGCAGCACTTGGGCCAGCCAACATGTTTTCCTAGAAGTTTGCTGTGCTGTCATATCACTAGGGCTGAGAGCACACTTGTGGACTTCTCTTCTAGGTCACTATGTTCATGCTGGCAACATCCTTGGGACTCAGCGCCAATTTCGCTGGCACCCAGGTGCCCACGTGAGTTGCTTGGGGGCCCTCCCCTTTTTTCTAGGACCACCTTTCTGTCCCTAAATACAGTAATGATAACAGTTGCATTTATTGGATGCTTACCATATGCTAAGCATTGTGCTTATTCCTGCCCTTACTATCTCATTTCTCCTTACCAAATCCCTGTCAAGTGGGATCCATCCCCATTTCACAGGTGAAATGCCAGAAACTTAAGAGAGTGGCAGGGCCCAAGTAACAGTGTTGTCTAATATTAGATGATTGCACATCCTATGTTTCATTTTCTTTTCAGTGGGAAATAGGAGTGGGTTATATAATTTGATACGTGGGGCAACTGCAGCTACCTGAGCACTGAGAAGCAGTATGCTTAAGCTATAGTAAGATGGAAGTTTTAAATGTTTTTAAAAGTTACATGTTTTTAAAAGTTCTTAATAATGTACAATTCTAAGCCAGGCATYGTGGTACACATCTATAATCTCAGCTACTCAGGAGGCTCAGCAGGGAGGTCACAAGTATGAGGGTAGCTGGGGCAACTTAGGGGAGACCTGTCTCAAAATTAGAAAAAGGGCTAGAGATTTAGCTCAGTGATGAATATTCCTGGGTTCAATCCCCAGTACCAAAAATAATATTTTTTAATAATAATGCACATATTAAGAAAGTAGACATTTCCCTTTTTATGACTGAAAGGAGCTTTTAGAATTAAATTCAGATTTAAAATCAAATTCAGTAAATTATTTTTCTTCTGTTAAAAACTAATGATGGTGGCTGGGATTGTGGCTCAGTGGTAGAGTGCTAGCCTAGCATGAATGAGGCACCAGGTTCGAGCCTCAGCACCACATAAGTGTAAAATAAAGATGTCTACACTTAAGAATAAATATTTTAAAAAAATTTTTGAATAGGGCTGGGGTTGTGGCTCAGTGGCAGTGTGCTTGCCTAGCATCTGTGAGGCACYGGGTTGAATTCTCAGCACCATCTATAAATAGATAAAAGAAAGGTCCGTTGACAACCAAAAAAATATTAAAAGAAAAAAACTTGAATAAAACAACAAYAAGCAGTGTAGTCTGCCCAGCCGTGTTTGCCTTGATGTTATGTTAGCCTAACATTTTGGTTCTCCTTTCCAGTCCTCAGTTCTTAGAGGGTAATAGCCTTGTAAGTTCAGATATTTTCTTTGATTTTTTTTTTTGAGTCTTAGTAAATTAAGTTCAATTTATTCATTTTTCATGATTTCTAAGATTTTTCTTTGCGTAAACCTGCTATGTGGTTGAAAGGTAGCTTGAATTTAGTAAAAACAATTCACTGTGTGCTTCAGAAATTAGATCCATATCAGGCAGGGATTCCAATTTCAGCAGGTTGGGCTTAGTTCATGAGATAGAAGAATTCTTTGTTAAGACAGAACTATACTGTACCCTTCACATTATTTTAAGTGATAATTTAGTCCCCCCCCCCTTTTTTAAAATCATCTACCCTTCCTCAGTTTAGTTTCCTTTGTAATTAAGCTTCCCACCCCTTTGTTGTGGGTAGGAGGTTTTTGTTGGTTTGTTTTCTAGTGCTGGGGAGCAGATGATAGCCAAATGTTCCACATTCAGCCATACCCCCAGCTCATTTATTGCTAACTTTAATAGACACAGAAAGGCTGATAGTAATCTGTAATTATTTCAGAGATGCTTATTTGAATGTGAATTGATTTCAAATGCAGTAGCTTTATTTTTTAGAATTTAAAAGACATTGGATGTGTGGCTAGAGAACTCTTGGAACTTGCTAAAATAACAGTGGTAAGAGCTAACATGTTTTTGAGTTCATAGCATTCTAAGCTCTCTGTGACCATAAACTCATTTAGTCCTTAAGATGACTTATAAAGTAGTTAGTATTATKCTGAGACACAGTAAAATAAATTGCCAAGGATCTTAGTGCTTAGTAGTTGTCATCTGAAAAATGGGACTGAGAATAGTATGTAATTCACAAGGTCAGGATTAAATGAGTTGATATATATGTATACATATCTGTGTGTATGTGTATGTATACATATATTTGTGTATGTCATTAAACACCAGTTTGATGTACATTTTCATTTATATAAAGTTCAGGCTCTATCATAAATATAGATTGCCAGGCATGGTGCTACACACCTGTAATCCCAGCGGCTTGGGTGGCTGAGGCAGGATTGTGAGTTCAAAGCCAGCCTCAGCAAARGTGAGGTGCTGAGCAACTCAATGAGACCCTGTCTCTAAATAAAATATGAAATAGGGCTGGGGATATGCTCAGTGGTCGAATACCCCTCAGTTCAATCCCTGGTACCAAAAATAAAATAAGGGCTGGGGRTGTGGCTCAAGTGGTAGTATATTAAAGTCTAAATAAAGTATTTTTTTAAAGTATTTTAAAGTCTAAATAAAGCACATTCGTAGGGACAATGATTTGAGGCATTTTCCCTGGGTCTAGTTTTGGGACCATTCAGTGTGGCTTCCAACCAGTGTTATGACACAGCAGCCAACAGATTTGGCTGTTGGAATTTTCTTTTTCCTCTCTGTTATGGAGTAGAAGGCAAAAAAGTACTGAGCAGTGGGAAGGGAAACATGGAGTTCTCTAAACCTCACCATTCAGCCCCAGGACCTGAATCTWGGGGGGAGGTCTATGTGGAGGCTCTAGGATATACCACCTGGCTCTTGATCCAACTAACCAGGTCTGTGTGTTGCAGGTGGGGCTGGGGAAGAGGAAGTACYTGTATGCCCTGGAGGAGGGGATAGTCCACTACACTAAAGAAGTCTACGTACCCAATCCCAATAACTTGGAGGCAGTAGATTTGGTCACCAGACTGCCCAAAGGTGCTGTGCTCTACAAGACTTTTGTCCACGTTGTTCCTGCAAAGCCTGAGGGCACCTTCAAACTTGTAGACATGCTTTGAAGTCCTGGTTGAGGCCTTGGAACAGAGACTGGAGCCCAGGTGACAGGAGAAGGTGATACCAGAAGTGAAGTATTAGGGTCACAACAGGGCCTCTAAGGAAGAGGTCTGTTGGAAGTTGACTCTGTAGGAGACTCGGATGACTGCCGGGATACCTTTTGGAAGACCTTTCCTGGGCCTAAATAAAGCCTGCTGGAATCACGAATCTGTGCTGTTTGGGGACAAACTTAGATGAAGCTGCTTACTGCTCTGTTGGTTCTTACCCATGTTCTCTTGTGCACACTAAAGGGAGAAAGCAGGAAGGAATCCTGTCAGAGTGAGGAAATGAAAAGGGGGGCTTTGTTTTGAGGAGAGGGTTACACTGGCACCATTTCCCAGAGGAAAAGAAAGAGGAGAGCTTGGTATCCCAGCTGCTTTCCCTGTGTATCCCCTAAAAGTCCAGGTGCTGGGTGCTGGGAGGGAGAGAGGTCAATAGAGGAAGCAACACAGTTGTATTCTCTCTTAAAGCCACATGCAAAGGAGCAGGCTTTAGCCCCAGAGATGGCTACACAGTAGGCCCCTGCCTCTCTGAGTCCAGAGCAGAGTCCAACCAGGGATGGCAGGAGATTAAATCAGGCCCCATCTGACCTGGAATATCAACGTCCTTCCAGTGGTGAGGCAGGTAGGTGACGAGTGACTTCTTCCTGCTTACCACAATAGCTAGACATAGTAAGCCCACATTCTTCTCTGGTTCTTAATTTATCTCAAACCATATAGCAGCAAACAATCTGGCTTTGGGAATACTTACTGAGGACCCAGAGCAGGCTGGGGGCAGGCATTCACTGTCAACCAAACCAAACACTTAAAAGGCCTGGCAGGGCGATTGCAGCCAGGGAGGGTAGCCATTCCTGGCTRTTGGCGGTAGGTAGGGTTGGCTGCAGTCCCAGAAAGGAGTGGCTTCTTTCTGAGGACCCTCCTCTGCATATAGGCATGGGCTCCAATTATTTGGGGGCAGAGAAGTCTTCCTTTTCTGAAGTTTCACCTTGAACTTGTTACCTTGTTCTCTCGGGACATAACCCTGGATTCCCCACTTCCTGTAGATCCTAGGCAAATGTGACCTGGGGTTTGTGGGGGTCCAYTTTGGCATTTTTCCAGAAAGGCCCAGTAGAGCTAGTCCTTAGGCAAAGGAGATTGGTGGGGACTGTCTCTGCAGGCACAATGCTGTGTCTTCAAGGTCCCTGAAGAAATAGGAAGGGGCAAGATGGGGTCACTCCCTTCTACAGTGATGTTTCCCTGAGCAAGGCAGGTGGCTGCGTCTTGGGATGGGTGAGCAGAACCACAGTTGGGTAGTAGTGCAGATAGTGGCAGAGCCTCATAACTTGGTGGCAGTTGAGTGATGGAAGAGCAAAGGTATTGGCTGTATACTTACCCTTTTTTTGGACTGCTGCTTTTGCGTTCTCTCCCCCAGCAACAGGTCCTTCCTGGAAATAAGTTGGATCCTAGAGCTGTTGGCTCTTTTGAAAACCTCTTTGCAGGGATCTGGTAGACCTGCCTTGGCTAAGGTTTGTCATCTTTCCCTATATACAAAGGGAAGTGGAGCCTCCAATCAAATTCTAGCTCCTTCACTAGTGGCCCTTTCTTTGTTCCAACCCAAGAGTCTCTAACGAGGCATTGTGTATGAAAGAGTGATACGGGAACATCAGTTCTCGCAGCACTAGGCTAGGAGGACTGAATGTCCACCTCTGCAGGCTCAGAGCCCAAAGTGTGCTGTCAGCTGGTGAGTCTGCTGCTGCCAGTCCTGTCGAACATTCTACTTGGGCAAGTGAACCAGCTGCCACAGGGTCCATAGTGGCTCCTGGGGAACCTCACACAGCATACCTCATSTCCTTGGGGATAACACTGACCAAGAAAAACCAATGGAGCCAGAAAGACATGCCACTATTATCCAGCTTCTGCCTGGATCCCCCTAAGAGTAGGAGTCCCACATTCCCTCCTCCCCAAGAAACCTCTAGGCTTCATCTCATTCTTTCTTTCCCATGCATTCTTCATAGTCTCCTTAAAAAACCAGGCTCCTTACTGGCTTCAAGAGCCAGCATACCCATCTTCCACCACTCCCAGATGGTAGCCCCAAAGTTCCTCCCTCCCCTGCATACCTCAGGACTCCTGTTCCTTCACAGGGGCGTGCCATGGTGCTGAGGTAGGGATGGAGGCAGTAAAGCTTGAGTCACGAAGGACAACTCAAGGTGAAAAATCAAGATTTAGGATCATTGTGCAAGAGAGTAGAGTCCAAATGCACTGTCTTGCCCCAGTTCCCTTTCCCCCCCATCCTTTAGACCTCTCTGCCAAGTCCCAGGCCACAGCTCAGACCCTCAGCATTTCTGAGATGCATAGAGAGATTCCATTTCTTTTGGGCCACTGGTTTATTCTCACAACCTGACAACAACCTCTGGTGAGCTTTGGAGGGAGACCTCATCCTCCTGTCCCCAGCTCTTCATCCTGGACCTGATGCAGAGGTGGGGGCTGAAGCTCAAGATTGCCTTTGCTTTCTATATAGATGCCATATGGTTCCCTTGTCCCTGACTGCTGATGTTGCCACTTGCCCCTTGGGCCCCTGGACTTTCCCTGGAAACTGGGGAGCTGGGTGAAGACACTGAGGTTTCCCTGCAGAGTTTAACAATGGCCAGTATGTTATTAACCCTTTCCATACTATTGTCCTGACCCACCGAGAACCTAGGCTGGAGGAGGATGCATTCAGAGAAGAGAGCCCAAAGGCCCCTCCCTACTGAATAACTGCTTCCCCTGAGCAGGGGCCCTCTTGCCAGAATTGGGGAGGCAAGGGCTTGCTGGGGAAGAGTGCTTACATATTGGCTGGGATAATAAAAGAAGAGAAAGGAGCAGAGGACCTGGCAGCACTGGGGGTGGCACTGGTACAATAGCAGAATGGCAGGAGGAATACCAAGGACAAAACTACCCTCCCCAGAGGCTCAATCAGGGACAGCCTGGGACTGACTGTGGCCCATTTCCTCCCTGGGTTAGAATCCCACTCCAGAACCTGGTGTGGGAATGACCTGCTTAACACACAGGGCAGACTGGGGTGCAGGCAGCTTCCTTTCTGCTGCTGCATCAACTCTCTGGGCAGGAGAGCACAAWGGCTTTGTCCTATGTCTCCCTTCAACCCAGGGAAGCAGTGCCATGTGTAAGGGAGACTTTACAGAGGGACACATTTAGGGARGAGGAACAGATAACCTTAGAAACAGTGGGTCTGAGGAGGCAGAAGAGAACCCAAGAGCCTGAACTCAACCCGTGGTACTCAGCCCTCTCCTATCAGACTGTGGCACTGTAGAACTTGACACTGATGGAAAGAGACAGTGACTCATAGTGCCTCCATATAGCATTCCTCCCAGGTGGTTTTGGGAGGAATGTTGTTACAGGGAACCTATTGATGGGGCTGGGCTTCTGGTCTATAGTTAGGGGCTCAGAGTGCATCTGCTCCAACCCTATGACTTRGAATGGCAGTAGGTACTGATTATGGCCTTGACTATGGCTAGGAAGCTGTTGTCCATGGTGTGGACACAGAAGCAGTGGCATGGAGTGCCAGGAAAGGGCATCAGCCCTGAGGGTGGCCACCAGGACCACTGGTCCTCCCCCGAATCAGAGGGTCAAGAGGATCAAGCCCTTCAGAGCCCTGGTACCTGTGAGCACCTCTCCAGGTTTTCCACCCCTTCTGCCTTCTTTTAGGAGTACTAGGCCATGAYCTGGTGTCCTGTAGATGGCATTCCCTCTGTATGCCTTGAAGCCATGAGGRCATCTCTATCACTTCAGGAGAATGGGTTGGTGGGAAAGGACTTGGCTTCTGCTGAACCTGACAGCCAGGCAGGGGAGCTCCAGTTTGCCAAGGTTCTGCTCTCRGATCTCCTTTCAGTCTGACTCTGCCCATCTCTACTTCTTATTGGCCTACATAACTGGGTTCTGGATGCCAATTGGCTGTCTTCTGGTCTGGGCTCCCACCTCTAATGGAACTGTGGATTCCATGGTTACCTTGGAAACTGGGCTTGTACCACAGTACACAAAGGCCTCTCTGCTGGGGTTCTTCCTCTTTCCAGAGCAAATATTGTGAGCTCTGGGGACTTGGCCTGACTGAGCTTCCAGGCTGAGCTAACTCTCCCTACTAAAAGACTAGGGATTCTGGCAGAGAAGCTGCTCTCAAACTTGCCTCAGTGATGTGAACAAAGGAGGGGAGGCCAAGAGGGCCTCCACTTTCAAGCCTACCTTCTAAGCCTGTTGGGAAGAGTCCTAGACTCTGGTCCTGGGTCCTACAGAGCTTCTACTTCACTAAAGCCAAGACAAGACAGCCAGAGCAACGGGGTTGGGACTAGACTTTCCTCGTTCTTCTGCCTGCCTGCAAATGAGCGTCACTGGCGAGCAGTGACAACCATTGTTGGACTGTCAGACCAGTTAAACCAGGTTCATGATCTATTGGGCTAAACAAGAATGCAAATACAGAATGTTTGCAGYAGATGAGAGCAATGTGGAACTAAGACCTGGTGTGACATGGTGGGAGTGGCAGGGGCTGACACACAGTGCATGAGCCACCCAAACTAAGACAACAGTGGTTTGAGAACTGTTGTGCTAGGCAGCCCTGGTTAACTGTGGGCTGCTTTGTGTGCTCTGGGCCAGCAGTTCAACTGTTTTAGTTTGGCCTGTGTTTAATATGCTGAACCCAGATAGTAATTTTTCTGTTTAATGGCCTAAGAGTTGGGCTGGAGATATAGCTGAGAAATAGAACACTTGCCTCGAATGCACAAGGTCCTGGGTACCAACCCCAGAGCCAAAAAACCCTTCAGAGTTGATGTTGAGAAACAAAACCCCCAGTGATCTTGAGGACTAGAGTACAGCTTCAGATATTCACTAAAATAGGAGTAAAACACAATTATATTCACCTCTGTACCTGAACATCATGAACTGTATGCTCTTGCTGTTCGCCCCTTCTGGTTACCTGTCTAGTCAAGCCCTCAAGAGAGAGCATAGTTATTTCAGTGGCTAAGGCTTTCTACCTCCTTCTGAAGTCTGTTGCCACCACTGGATGACAAGCTTTGGGCTTGTCATTTCACAGTTCTGAATCTGTTTCCTGATAGGCCCCAGGAAGGTAATAAAAGTGCCTGACTTTAGGGGTTGGGAGGATTAAATGAGAACTGCATGCAGTCGGCCCAGTGGCTGAACAACCCTCTCTGGTGCTGTTTTTAGTGGTCAGGAGCGCCCTCTCATGGCAACTAGGAAAATGACATGGGGCAGCCTGGGCGGAATTGAGCCCTTTAATATACCAAGCTGAGCTGAGACCAGTGTGATCAGCAGTGGTGATTTTGGGTCTAGAAACCTTCACTCTTGCTCCCCACATTACAGAAGGTGTGAAGAACACTGAGCCCTTGCTAATGACAGGAGGGGAGTCAGAGGTGGGGAAGGGGCTTAAGAAAGGGAAAGGAATAGACAAACCTTTTTTTTGAGGTGGGGTACAGGGGCTTGAACTCAGGGGTACTAGACCACTGAGCCACATCCCGAGCCCTATTTTGTATTTAATTTAAAGACACAGTTTCACTGAGTTACTTAGCACCTCGCTGTTGCCAAGGCTGGCTTTGAACTTGCGGTCCTCCTGCCTCGGCCTTCCACCGCAWGCAGCTAGACAAACCTTTCTAGGTCCCAGGTCAGAGGCCAGGAAACCCAAGTCTTACTCCCAGCTTTAAGGGACAAACTCCAGCATGACCATTAAGCCAAGGCTGGGATTGCCTCTGTTCTTGAGGGTGCCCCACGAAACAGAACAATGAGGGCTTCCAGGATGGGCCCAGGTGACACTGAAGGCAGAAAAGCCAACATCTGCTGCAGCCTGACGAGGTGGAAGTGCTGGATCAGGGCTCTCAAGAAGGAAGCTCCCCTCATGCTGGCCTGCTGAGTGGCAATGAGGAAGTCTCTGAGCCTCCCAGGGCCATTGACCTCTCAGAAAAAGAAAGGGTTGCACTGGAGAAGTTTTTGCATCCTTCTGGCTGGGATGGATTTGAAGCTGTTCCTGCTCTGGGGGGCTGAGATTTCTGCCTTCTCAGGGCCATTAAAATAGCAGCTAAGAYTCCTAAAAGAGGGTGGCCCTGGGAACAGCGATGGATCCCCGACATGCAGGAGGAAAAACACRAGGCTGCTTAGAGAGATAGAGATATATTTCTTCTGTTGCATATTTCAGACTTCACACCGAGCTTCAGGCACAATGCGACTCTGGGTTCTTCTGAGCCCCTGACAGGCTTCCCACACTGCTAATGAGGCTCAYTGCCCCAGGGCACACCTGGGAGTACCTGGGAAACTGTAATGGTCTCAGTAGGCCCTGATGCCCTGCCTTTCCCATCAAGGGGCAGGGTGTGCTAGAAAGTCCTAGAGCCAGACTCCCTCACTGCTCTAGGGTCCCCTGGCTACCAGGGGAGAGGCTGTCCCTCTAGAGCCCAGCTCCACGGTGGCTCCTGAACACCTGTTCTCTGGGCCTCAGAGCTGGCAGGGTACCTGTACCCTTGCAGGGCCTCAGCCATGAGCACCACAGCCCAGGCTGGGGGACCCAGCCCTGGAGAGCGAAGCAGACCCAGCCTCTCCAGAGCAGTAGCAGATGGGCTCAAAAGGGCCCGCTCCCCCCAGCCATGGCCCACTTCCTGGGGCTGCTCTGAGCCCTATTGCACATCTTTTATTTCTAGTTCCTCCCCCACACACACCCATTTTAAATAAAAATAACAAACAAACTAGAGAGGAGGGGGAGGAAGAGTTGGGTTCGGAATGCTGCTGGAGCCCTTCTCCATTCCTGTCAACCCTCTGGTCCCTAGCAGAGACATTAGCCCACCGTGGCTGCCGTCTGTGCGGGCTCTGGATGGCTGATGTGGTGTACCCCCGGGGGGCCTCTGGTTCCTGCCTGTGGGAGGGGATAGCCCTCCATTGTCTGTAAGGTGCAATTCCCGGGTTCTCCGGGTGTGCTGGCTGGGGCCCTGCTACCTGAGTCGCCCGTCTGATTTGACAGGCCCCAGCTCTGATTTGGGGTCTGGGGACAGAGAGCTCCAGCTGGTCAGTCTGCAGAGATCCAGGGAGGGGCAGGCAGAGGGGCCCATGGCACACAGTCCTGCCACAGACCAGAAGCGGCTCAGTTCCCCATCTGTCCAGGCCTCCAGAGCAGGCCCTGTAAGCTCTGCGCGCCGCCGGGCGGCCTCCTCCACAGGCTCTGGCTGAGGCAGGTTCAGGATGCCGCTCAGGCCCTGGAAACTCTGTTCCAAGTATTCATTGTGGGGTGGTCCCGCGTGCAGCCAGAGGGCATCATCTGGAGGTGCAGGGCAGGCAATAAGTACGAGGTCAGCCCCAGGAGTCAGGTCTGAGTAGCCCAGTTCCCATCCCAGCCCTGCCATTGAATCTCATCTGGTGGAGTAACATTGGACCAATCCAAGGAACTTTCTGTGTCTATAAAATTGTAAGTTATATGAAACCAAGGATGTACTCCCTGAATTCTCAACTGTTTCATTAAGTCAAACAGAGGATTCAAGGCACTTTAGAAAATAAGGTAACAACCTGGTTTGTGTCACTCACATCCCTTCTTGATCATTGTCAGTGGCTCCTGGAGCCCTTGGCAACCTATTAGATCCTCCCTGTGGGCCCAGTTGCCTGGCCAGCTGGCCTTCCCATCTCCTACTTTCCCTGAACTCTCTGTCCCCTCATCAGATACCTGCCAGCTTTGTTCCTCCCACTTACATACAGCACGCTCTGCCTTTGTTCTGGAGACCCAGCCCCAGTCCCCACCAGCAGAGCTGCCTCTATTCCTTCTTCTGTTTCCTTCACCAGACTGAGTTCCAGGAGGGCTGCAGATGTGGCTCACTTGCCCTAGATCTCCCCAACCCCCAGTGTCCCCCGTCACCCTCAACCTGGGTTAACCTTTCTTGTGAGAAGATGTGGAGAGKGAAGGAAATATCTAGCTTGAGCACCCACTGCATACCCCCAGCTGTTACCCAGTACTCGTCCCTGGTATCTCCAGCTCCTTGCAGGAAGCTGCCCAGCCTCTGCTGCTGTTCATCTGCTTCCTTAGCCTCAGCTAAGTCAGGGGAGAGCCACGTGACTCTGCTCAGTCAGTCACACAGTAGACTGAGATGACCAGTCAGAATTGCTGTCCCAAGAACATGGAACTTGGGGACCCAGAGGCCCTGATCAGGCTCTGCTGCTCTGCAAGGCCATGTATGAAGAAGCTGATCTCAGAGAGACTAGGACAGGGGACAAGCTACCCCCAAAGGATAGAGGAAGCATCCTGTATTCTTCCAATGATTCCCCTTTTTAAATTTGAGTGAGTTTAATAATATGTGTCCCAGGTACCCAGGAGGTCTGATAGTTGCACTATCCTTCTTCACATGTGAACAGACTGAGGCTCAGGAAGGCCAAGTAATTTCTAAGGTCCAATGAAAGCAGCAGAGGCCTGTTCCCAACCTAAGTCTGATTGACTTTAAAGCTCCCCTTTCTCCTACACCACACTGTAGGGCCCTGCATGCTAAGGGATAGAAGATCAAGGTCCCAACCTCCTCCCTTCCCTTATCTTAAGGATGGGGTCAGCTCTGATGGTCACCTTCTTGAAGTCATCTCCCTGAAAAATCCGATTCTGTCTTTGGGTCATCATTTAGGCACTAGATCCTTACCTTTCCTGAGAGGTAGTTTGCGGTTGAAGGTCAAGGGCAGCACGAGGAAGTGGGTCTCACCCAGAGGTTCCCAGAACTGAAGCAGTCGAACGGTCCAGGCTCCTGGCCGCAGGGGCCGGCTCAGTGGAGGCTTGTACTGTGTGACCTCAGTCTCCGCATCTACCGTGATGTCATATGATGTGGCCACTACGTAGGTTGGGTCAATCCAGACCACAGTGGCTGTGAGATTGGGGCCCCGGGCCCAGCGCTGCATGGCCACAGGCTCATCCAGTGGTCCCAGCAACCCCCCAAAATTCCGGAAAAGACGCTCTTTGGGGTCCCATTCAGTGCCAACCTGTAGGGAGGGAGGAGGTGGGTAGGAGCCTGGAGGAAATGTCCTTCTCTCTTCTGATGCTGCTCTTACTGTGTAACCTCAGGCCAGTCACTGTTTCTGGGCCTCAGCTTCCCCATATGAAAAATAAAAGGGACAGACTTGGAGAATTTTTTTTTTTTTTTTTTTTTTTGTGGTGCTGGGATTGAACCCAGGGCCTTGTACATGTGAAGCAAGCTCTACTAACTGAACTATATCCCCAGCCCCTAGGAGAATCTTAATCTCTTCAGCTCTGAGATTCATTCTAGGCTTTCATTCTGAACTGCTCTACAGTGGTGGGGCCATAGGCAGACCATCCCACAGAAGGTAACCAGGAAAGAGAATGAAGCGGCACCCAAAAGCTCAACGGGAATATCCTCATACCCCTAGAAGGATCCTTGTAGTGTAGAAGGACTGGGCTTGTGTTACGATGGAATGACAATCCCTCCCTACTCACTACATGTCCTATGTCCCCATCTGGGAGAGATCCTCAGAGTGTACATGCAGGGTGACACAGGCATGTCTGAGTGGGACACCACCAAGGCTGCCATTACTGGGTAAGAAGATTCCAGTGAACTCAGCTCATGAAGGCCCGATAGAGAATCTGTCCCTCTCTCCCCACTCCCTGTGTTTTGCTAGGGGTCAAAAGAAACCAAGGGGGAGGACATGTCCCACCTCCAAACTCTGGAGCCGGCTGGCCTGGTCACTGCGCCCCAACAGCTTCAGCGACCCCTGGGGCATCAGCCACATCTCAAGCGTCTCTGCTGGCCCTTGGACTGAGGGCTGCACCGTCTGCGTCACCAGGTAGCCCTGGAAATGGTCGTCATAGAAATACAGGTGCACGCTGGACGGCAAACCCCTGGGCTCAAACCTAAGGTTCCAGCAGGGAGAAAGGGAGATGCCATCAGCACACCTGACTCAGCCTGGAGTCCCAAGGAGGGGGCACTGGAGAGTCCCATCCCCAGGCACTTCCTTTGCCCCAAATCTCACAACCCATAGCACCTATGTGCCTGGCTCTTGCCTTCTTTATCATTATTTTTTCTTGCATTTTCCCTTGCCTTAGACTGGGAACTTGCTGTGGGCAGGGACTGTCTTTCCGATTTGCCTCCCAGAGGGCACCACACCCTGAGGGCCTGCAGTATGTCAGAAGGGGGTCTCACCTGCACAGTGAGGTGGCCTGTGGAGGTGCGGCAGTGGCAGCATGGCGCAGGCTGAGGCGGGTGAAGGCGGTGTAAGCGGTGAGCATGACATCGCTGAGTCCGCCAGGGCCATCGGCCACGTCATAGGTGTTCTCCCAGTAGGCTTTGAGGGCTGGCGTGCCAGCGGGGTAGCTGCCATATAGGTGGAAGTCCAAGATTTCCAGGACCTCCTGGTTCACAGTCGACTCAAACTTCCGGGCGAAGAAAGTGGGTCTGGAGACTTGCTGGAGAGGGAGAGGCAAGGAGAATGAAGGGCTCTGGGACCCACAGTAGGGCAGAAGCCGGCCCCTCTCAGCACTACCTAGCAATCAGCCTCTCCAGGCTTTTTCTGCTACTGCTGTGGGCCTAGACCCCAGGACTGCTCCCAGTGGAGGCCCATACTGCCTTTCTGACCTGGAAGGCTCCTGGGGAAAAGCTAGGTGAAGGCCTAGCAAGGCGGCCTCCCAGGCCATGGCAAGCACCTGCAGCCGTAGGAAGTCCTGTGGCTTGAAGTCGTTGGGGGAGCAGCCGCACCAGTCCACGATGTGCTTGTACTGGCACTTGCAGCCCAGCTTGCGGTTCCAGTTGGTGACCCGCAGGTTGTTGTCCACGAGGCTYTCACAGGCTGGGCTGTTCTCCAGCACCGTGTGGAAGAAGGACTGCAGGTGGCAGGGGTGTGGAAGATGAGCTGTGGGTAGCCCAACCCGCACCCTCTCTGGCCGGCCCAGGCACCCACCTCAGCTGGGAGCAGCGTGTATGTGTAGAACTGGCGTAGCTGGGCCACAAGTGGGTCATCCGTGTACACCACATACTCCACGAAGCTGCGTGTCAGCACAAACCAGTCGGAGCCACCATCCACCACGATGCCTGAAGGGATCTGCCGCTCACCCAGGCGCCACATGTGCGAGTCACACTCGTGGAAGAGCCGGTCCAGGCCCTGTTTCTTGATGAACCTGGGGGTGGCAAAAGGACCATGGCGAGGGATCCACAGAGTGGGGCCAGGCCTTCTCATCTACCCAGCAAACAGAACTCCTCCATCTGTGATTGGTCTGGAGATTCTGTAACCCAAGGCTGGGATCACTAAGTCCCCCTGTGTGGGAAGGGTTTTGAGAAGACACTAGGGCCTCCCTCCACACCTCCCTCACCTGGAGTTGTCCCGGCCATGTGACTTGAGGAAATTCTTGTCCCGGTTCTTGGATAGGAATGCTACCAGCTCCTCATTGGTCCTGGTGAGAGAATGGGGTGTGAGGGGCGGTTGCTCAACCACTGGCCCGAGCAGACTTCCTCCAGCACTTTCCCTTGGACCTTTCTCTCTTGCTGAGAGCTCTCTGGCCATGAGCCTTATCCCTCCCTGGCTAATTCTCTATGGTGGTAGGCACATGGGGTCCCAAGAAAGATCACATCATCCTCCCTCCCTTGCTAGATGTACCCAGGTACAGACTCTGGCTCCTCCTTTTCCCCTTCTCTTATCATTCCCAATCCTCAGATCACCTTTACCAGCTCCTCCTCTAATACATGGCTAGGACCAAGGGGGCCAAGAGGGTCATGTATGGATCCCAGAATGAGGCTCAAGGGAGGAGGAGCCCATCAGAGCCCTCCAACCCTGACTGCCCAGCTGGGGCCCCCTCCCACCCAGAGGTTCAGAGCCCCATCCCCACACCTGGTTGGGTAGTCAGTGGCGCTGAGGTTGATGAAGAAGTCCCAGGCCCAACCAGGTACCTCTAGCAGGTCCCGCATGCTCCGCAGGTACATCCTCAGAAGGCTGGCCCCACCCCAGATGGTGACCATGCGCCAGGGTGTCACCCGTACATTTTCATACCGCTGGGCCAGCTCCACCACCTCCCGGTGCAGGTAGTTGGAACGCTGGGGAAGAGGGGGTACTCAGCTGGGGGCTACTCAGCTGGGCCCTAGGGTTACAATTCCCCAACTCCACCCCAGGGGAGAGCACAAATAACATGGAGTAGAGAAAGTAAAAAGCAAAGGACAGGGCTCTAGTTCCTAAAGGGTTGTGCCACCTGCTGCTGGACATGTCCCCATTCTGAGCTTCAGTCTCCCTATCTCTCGGCTGCCTAAGCCAAGTCAGAGACCCTGTCTATTTGTGATCTTTGTAGTTTCTGCTCACTCCAGACACCCTTGGTCTTTCCTGCCCCCAGTACCTTGTCCACATGGATATAAAAGAAGTGCTGCTCATGGTAGACAGCCTTGAGGAGACGCTTCAGCTGGCGGATGGCGCGGCCATGAACCACCAACATGTAGGCGATGCGTACTGGGGGGCCATCCACGGGCTGGGCCCGAATCTCTTCCCACTGGATGCCAGGACTCATCTTYCCTGAGAGTAGAAAACAGACGCATCTTTGAGGTCCACACAAGGTCACAGGGTACGGGTAAAACACCTTTCAATGGAAGAAGCCCACATTTGGAGCCCTGGGTCCCAGCTCCCTTTCTGCCACTTAATACATTTAACAAAAGCTTGGGCAAGGAGATTGGGCCCTCTGGGAAATAAGGGTGAAGATCTGAGCCAAGCTATGTCCCCATCCATGCCTAGGAAGGATCAGAATGCCCTGTCCCTTACCAGCCAGCTGGCAATGCCGCGGCACAGCCTTGGGCATAAGGCTCCCGGCCTGGTGCAGGCACACCACGTTGGCGATCTCCTGCTGGCACTGCTTGGTGCTGGCCCGGGCCAGTGCCGACAGCGCATCCTTGCCCACGATCTCGCACTTAGGGGTAAAGCCGTTGTCTGTGGGCTGGGGGGCACCCTCCACGCTCCCTGTGTCTCCATGTGGTGGGAAGCCGGCAGCCCCTACCAGTGCCTCCCCAGCTGCTGCCCCACTCAGGTTCTGGCGTCCTGGGGCCTCTGGGGGTGGGGCAGGGGGGACCCGGCGACTGGCTCTGTGCCTGCTGGTTACTGCCCGTACCACCTTGGCCACGGGCAAGCCTGGGCTCTCAGCACGGCCCCGCCAGCGCCCATGCCTTCTGCCCGCRCTGCCCCGCCGCCCCGCTGAGCTGTCTGTATCCTTGGAGCCCTCGCCAGGGTCCAGTGGTCGTGGCTTCCTCTGCCTTCCTTTCTGTAAAAGATATGCAGACAGAGGTCACTAGGACAGTCACTTGCCTACTCTGCCTCCTTGAGCTCTACCTTGGCAGGGGCACCCTAAGACTTAGGAGCTCCTGCCCACCCTTTTCCTAGAGAAGTCCTGCGCTCCCGAATTTGGCACAAGGTCTGCCTGTAGGTGGTAAGCCCCTGAGCCACCACCACACTTGGTCCCTGGCTGGAAAGGTGAGGCTGAGCTGGGCCCACAGCTGACTCGCAGCAGGTTCTCCTGAAGGAAACAAGCCCTCCACGAGCCTGCTGCACCCCTGCTTCCTGGCTCTAAGTGCTTCCTCTAAGTGCCTGCTTCCTCGACTCCAACCCAGGCACTTCCCCCATGGCCTGGTCAGCTTGAACCACCCTCCTCTCCAGTCCCGTCTCCCCTTCCCTGGCTAGCAGCCATCACACTTGCCCTAGAGCGGGATACACTGAGCTCTGAGGCCCTGGATGTCCCTGTAGCAGACCGTGGACCCCTTGAGGGGAGCCATGGCAGCCCCATTTCCCGAGTCCAGTGGAGTAGCTGACACACAGAGGCATCTGGCTGGTGTCTTGAGACATGGAAGTGACAGAGGAAAGAGAGGTCCCGAGTCCCCAGAGCTCTGAGCTCAGCTCTGCCCTCTCACCAACAGCCGCTCAGTCTCCCTGAGCACATGCCCTCAGCCATGAGTGAGGGGCAAGAGAGAGAAAGCATGGAGAAGGCAGCTTGAGAGGGTGTCTCTACCACTGTCCCATTCCCCTCCTGCACCCCGTGTGAGCCCTCTCTCATGGCCCCTCTCCTCCAGCCCTGCAAGAGCTCAGTCCTTTTCTCACGTGGCCTGTGGGCAGCACACCTCAGTGGGGCAACCTCTTCCCTTGGCTTCCAGGAGACCCTCCTGGGCCTTCCCACACCTCATCAGTCTCTCAGCTCCCAAAGGGAACCCTGGGGCCTGTCCCCAGCCGAGCGCCTTCATTTCTCAGTGATCTCACTCAGTCTCAGTGTCTAAACTTCATCCACACTCCCAGAATTCTCTCTCTCTGAGGCATTTAAATAGCAGCTTCCGTGTCATCTCTCTTGGGAGCATAAAGACCTCTGACCTACAGGTCCGAGGGGGAGCCCCTGCTCTTCCTCCCAACCTGCCCCTCCTTCAGCCTTCCTCTCCACCTCGGTTAATGACAACCCCATCCTTAAGTGGCTGAGGCCAAACACACTGGAGTCAACTTGGATTCCTCTCTCCCTCACACCCAATCTATCAGCAAGTCCTGTTGGAGCTGTCTTGAAGATACATGCAGAATCTGACTCTTTCTTAGGACTTTCTCCATCGCCCTCTGCCTGGATTCCCCGGTCTGCTGGACCTGCTCTTGTTCTGCCTCAAGTCTCTAGGGTTCCGGTTAGAACTTCAGTTCCATCTCACCATCCTGCTGCTGGAAACAGCCAGAGGCCTCCCCTGGTGGGATCTGGCAGCCCTGCCCTCTGACCTCTTCTCCTATGACCCCTTCTGCTTCACTCTCATCCTGTCACAAGGGCCTCCTCACATCCCTTCATCCCACCTTTCCACTCACTGCACCCAGGACCTCAGCCCCTCCCACAGCTTGCTCCTCACCTCCTTCAACTGTGCATGAGTGGCCTCCTCTCAGGGAGCCCCCCACCATTGTATTCAAAATCCTGGCCCTCCCATCCTCTGCTTTATTTTCTCCACAGCACTTGATACCCTTCATCATCCTGCCATTTATTTATATTGTGTGTTTGAGGGCTATTTGCTAGTTTGTTCCTAGAGCCCAAGAGTGTCTGGTGATCACAGGCATTCAGTAAGCACCGGCCGAATGAATGGATGTCAATGGTCTTGGTTTTAGTCTTGGCTTAGGTGCATTTACAAAAGGTCTTTATGCTCCCATTTTAGTTATTGGAAGGGGAGAAGAAAACAATTAAATGTGAAGTCAAGAGAGGCCCAAGACCCTCAGACATCTTAGACAGCAGTTGGCTGGCCTCTCCCTGTCCCCCACTTCCCTAGGATCTTCATTCTCTCCCCTATCTGAGCACAGCAAGAACCTAACAGCCACCTTCAGGCCAGAGCCCCTCTCCCATACCCTGGCACCCAGGCCCTCTGTGCCTAGCACTGAGCTAGCCCTCTGATGACTTAAGAGGTTCCCAATGAGAGCTGGGGAGGCTCCCCATCTAAGAGAAACCTGAGTGGAGGCAGCTGATCCTGTTCAGTACCCCCATCGGGAAGGGCACCCTGGGCTGGGCAGCCTTCTAGAAAGGTGAGCCTGGCTACACAGCAAGCAGAGAAAGACATTCCCAAGCTTCGGTGGGTAGATATGGCAGAGAGGTGTGGGTTCCCCGGGTGGAAGCCAGTATCAGCGAGTCAGGAAGCTGGTCAGGAGGGCAGGGCACAGGGCACAGGGCCAGGCTGGCTGCGGTGGGAGACAGGATATGAGAGGAGGCAGGCATGTTGGTGCCCTGCACTGCAGCAGGGAGCTGGCTGACCCTGAGAAGGACAATCCCAGAGGAGGCTAGGGGACCAGGAGGCAGCGGTGAAGAATAAGAGAAGCCTTAGTCGATAGCCCCTGCCCTGTCCTCTCCCAGGTAAGTCCGTGTGAGCATCAGCAGAGCCTCAGGTTGTGAGGCCTTGCAAGGCCCCCTCTGATTACTAAGGATGGGGCCTGGTCCTCAAGCCTGGATGCATATTGGCTTCAAAGGCCCCCTGTTCCCCACTGAAGAGGCACTTAAAGTCCTTGGCCAGTTCCTGGCTCTGAGAATCCCTGGAATCCTTCTCTGAGCCATGGAGACAGTGAACATAGAAATGCTCACCCCACACCCCACCTCCCTGGACTTCTCAGACTGCATTTAAAGTAAGTGGTGATAAAACAAGTGGTGAGAATGTTTGTGAAGGCTTTGAAAACTATCAAGTGGCTCTTTGGAGTCTAGTGATCATCCCAGGTAGCCACTCCAGTCCTCCCACAGACAGCAGAGTGCACATCTTAAAAGCACATTGGATCCCGGGTGGTGCTCTCCTGCTGCACTTAGAACAAAACCCCAGGCCCTTCTGTGGCCCCTTCAGCCATGCAGTATGGATTCATTTTCAGGGAAAGTGCCACACCCTCCTGTCCATTCCTCAAGAGCACCCAGCTCAGCCCACTCCCAGGGCCTTCTGCCCAAACTCTCCTGCCCACCTCTTCCTGCTGAAAGCCTTTCCAACCTCCCGATCTAAACCAGCCTCCTTGTTAGTCTGGTGACTAACCTTTTCACTGTCTGTCTTTCTCTGTAGACTCTGCCCATGAGGGCCAGGGCTCACCTAGTCTTTATTTCTATCTCTCCATATTAGCACAGTGCCTGGTGTGAATAGAACATAAWAAATGTTTGTTGACTGAATGACTGAACTCCTGTCCCCTAGGTGCAGTGCTGAGATAATAAGTGTTACATTACTGACAGCTTATCATGTGCCAGGAACTCCTACAAATGCTCACAGGCATCATTTCACTTTGTCTGTATAAACCCAACAAGAGAGGTGCTACTATTACCCAGTCTTGAGGGGGTACTGAGGAGGATATGGAAAGAGGAGYGGTGATTCATTGGTGGTGTGCTCAGCAGCAGAGCTGGAACAGGATGGTGAAGAGGGCAGTCCCACTTCAGCAGCCGCCTTCCCGAGCACTGTGCTATGCTGCCTGGCAACCCCCAAGTCTGGTGAGGTAGCTACTGAGGGGTTCAAGCATCAGTGGCTGCCTGATGCTCAACATTAGCTCACTGAGGATCTTTTTCCATTCAGCCCAGGATTCCTCTGTCAGTTTCCTCCAATTTCCAAGCTGGAGGAAGGGGTGAGGCTGGGGTATCCCAACCTCTCCACTGAGCCAATTCTCCATGCCAAGCTATAAACAGGGAAGCAAGGTCCTCAGATCATCCAGAGACTCACAAGCGAATGCAGCACGGGGCCATTTGCTTCTGAGAAGGCTCAGGTGCTTTGACATCTCCCTCCCCAGAGTGGTCACCAGTTTCTGCTCACATATTTCAGGGTCAGGGGCTCTCTAACTCTGTTGGTAGCTAGTCCATCTTAAAGTCTTATCTGTCCCAAAGACTTCTTATACTAGGCCTGAAACTCTCTTCTCCTCTTCCTCCTGCACCCTGGTCCACACAAAACAAGCTCATTCCCTCAGAAGTCACAGAGCCAGCCTCCCCAGTCCCCACCCTCAACTCCTTATGGAGTAATGGTCTCATGTAACTGTTCCTGCTCCCCTCCCCATTCCAGCTTCTGGTTCTCCCCCCAAAACAAGAGAGATCAGCTCTTCTCCAATCTCCACACCAGGCCTTCCAGACTGTAGAGGTGCAGGAAGTCAAAGTGGACACGGGGGTTCCCTTGGCCTTCAATTCCCAGGTAGAGAAGCCCAAGAGGGCAGGCAAGCACAGCCTCTGACCAGAGCCCTGGAGGGACCAGAAGTGGAGGCAGGGGCAGGGAACTCCTAACTTGTAGCCACAGCTTAAGAGTATGGCYCACCCTCTATGCCCTTTCAGTTCCAATTTTACTGGACCCTCTGAACCACCCTGGGGAGGATGCGACTTGGCCCTCAGCTAAAAACACAACAAACAAGAATRAGGAAGACTCTTGGATCAGGGAATCTGGGCGCTGCTGAACAAGTTGCTGTCATCCCTATCCCCTTAGAGCCACAGGGGGTCTCTCCCGGATTCCTTAATGTCCTGAAGCCAGCTCAACTTTTCCCTCCCAAACCCCTGGCTGAGAAGCCACAACTGGGGGACTCTCCAGCTTTTTCCCTCAGGGTCACTCCCTGTTCTCTTAGTTCGTGGGGGTACACACTTCGTCACAGGCCGTAATTCCACTCCAAAGCTCCACTTTCCTATCTGTCGCTGCCTCTCAAGCGCGGCTGGACATAGATGCCCGGGGTCCCTCCGCCCCACTCCTCCACCCACGGCGTGCACACCCCCGCCCCCTCCCAACTTCAGAAAGTTTGGCCTGGGGCTCCCCACCTCGGAGCAGGCTCCAGCCCAGCCCCGCCTCCCAGCCCTGCTCCCCGCGCCTGACCTTCACCGCTCCCGCGGCAGGAGACCACCCCACCATGACCCTCTCCTCCCGCCCCAGCCCCCAGTCCGCCCGCGGCCCGGGCCTCTGGGTCACCCACCACGCCGAAGCACAGCCCGTCAGGCCCGCCTGGGAAAGGGGAGTCAGGAGCCGGACGTCTGGCTCCTGGAGGCCTCCAGCTGCCCACACGCACGCTGCCGGAGCCCCACTTGCTGGCCCGGGCCGCCCTCAGCCCGCTAGGACCCCGCGCGCCCCCGCGCCCGGCCTGCCCGCCCGCCTGGCCGCTGGAGCACCTCGCTTGGCTCGTCCTCCTCCAGGCCGCTGAAGCTCCACACTACCAGGCCCTGCAGCAGCAGGATGGCCAGCGCGATGGCGATCGCCAGCTTGTAGCGCCGCACCAGCTTCTGCACCCGCGCGCTCGCCACCATCTTCCTGCCCGGGACGCGGGGCGCGCGCCCAGCCCTGCAACCCCGCCGCGGGCGCGCGCACGGACGCGGGGCCGAGCCCTCCTGCTGGCCTAGGGAGGTGGGCCGGGCGCGAGCCTGGGCGGGGCCAAGGGCGGGGCCCGGAGGGCCGCGCCTCGCAGGCTGGGGCGGGGCCTGGGCCKCAGAGCCTCCCTCCCGGACCGCTGCGGGCTGGGGGCTGCGAGCTGGCTGTCGCCCGGCCTCCCACGCCGAGTCTGCATCCGGCGTGCCTTCCTCGGTGTGTGCCCCAGCCAGTGGTCACCTCTCCCTGGACAGCAGACCTATTGTGCTGGGAGGGTCTGCGGCCCGACCGCTCGCCTGCCTGGTGTTGCGGGGCGTGGGGGAGCTCGGCTCTGCCGGCGGTAAGCTCTCCATCCCAGGGTCCCAGTAAGTGCTACAGCTCCCAGAAGAGCCAGTTGGGAGTGGTGGTGTGAGTGCCACAAGGCCCCGCTTCAAACCTTCAGGCCGTAACCTAGGACAAAGTCTAACCCGTTGACTGGCTCCGGGGCCCTTCAAGAAAACATCCTTTTCTCTCTTCTCCCTTATCCTAAGCAGCTTCTGGCCTTTCTCCCCTACCTCATCCTAAGCACCCTGAACTGTTTTCCTCCTCTTTCATCCTAAGCATTTCGGGTCTCTTCTGGAGTTCTGATTCTCAGTTCTTAGCTTGCATCAGAGTCACCTGTAGGACTTGATAAAACAGATACTATCACTGGTCCTCACCCCCGGAGTTTCTGCTTTGGTAAATCACGGATGGAGCCTGAGAATTGGAATTTTCAACAGGTTCCAGGCGATGCTGATGTGGCAGGTCTGGGACCACACTTGGAGAACCACTAGACCTTGGCATATGCTGTTCTCTCTGCCAAGTCCTACCAGCTGTTCCCCGGCCSGTCAATGGCATCTTTGCTTGTGCTCACTGTCCAGTGGAGCACTATCACATCTGGTCGCCTTTTCTCTGGGATCATTCCTTATTCACCTTTGAGTCCTTACCACCACATAGGACACCCAGCAACGCTCAAGAAATGCTGGGATGCCGGGAGTGATGAGATCCCAACTACTGAGGCAGGAGGATCAACAGTCTGAGGCTGCTCTCAGTAACTTAGTGAGAATTTAAATTACAAAAAGGGCTGGGATGTAGCTCAGTGGTACAGCACCCCCTGCGTTCAATTCTGTACTGAGAGGGAAAAAAAAGTTGGGGAAAAAAGCAGAGGAACCCTAGCTACCTAGCTGACCTCAACATTTCTCCGGAGTCTGTTCAAACATGGCATTTGCAGGGACTGAACATATACAGTCTCTCCTGAGCCTGGCAGGATGGCGGAGAGAGGGAAGAGGGGGAGAGGTAAAACAGTGTCCCCCAAAGTAAGGTGAATAGAGATGGCAAAACCAAGAAAGAAAATTTAAAATGAAGCTTTAAGAACCACTACAGAGGGCTGGGGA